ACACCTATCAGGTTATGGATACTTGTTTAAAGGATTTGCGTATTTAATCTTAAACAAAAAAATTGTTTAAAGATAAGTTGAAATAACCCCAAAAGCAGTAATGAAAATAAAAAAAAGTATTTTTGACAATTATGAAAAGTCCCAGAATCAACAGAAAATTAATTACCTGTGAGGTGACTGCTGGGAGGTCTTTGGCTCTAAGTTTGTTCCTGCTGCATCAATGTTATCTTGTGGTTTGATGATTTTACCCAAATCCACTGAACCTGATGACATCCCCTCTTGGTGAGGATGCTGAGGTACAGTGGTCGACTGCACCACCAACCTCTGTCCCCCAGGAGATGCTGTCTGAACATTGGTGCTCACTACATCTACAAAATGACCCTCACAGCTGCTGTTGGGATCTGCACAATGGTGGCAAACGTCCTCCTGCTCCAGCATCCTCTCCTGAAGCTGCTGCTGAGCCTCATAACATCTCAGCCAGGCAGCATTCCAAACATGCATCCCTCGGGAGCCCTGCAAGGAGCTGGCCTGGACCTTGACTTCTTGGAATTTCTCTGGGCTGAAGTGTAGGAACCTTTCTTTAAAAGACTGTAGAATAAGTCTGTCAGGAGAAGCCTGGAGATCTGAGGGGCTGAGAGGTGTGGAGTTCAGGCAGGGGTCTTTGCTGTGGTTCTGTAGCAGTTGGGTATTTATTTGACTGATCCATGGGGTACTTTCTGGTGCTTGTATTGTCTGATTTCTGACTTTAGTAAGGTTCAGATAACCAGTGCATTCGTCAGCTAGCTCCACAGCCTGTTTGAAAAATAAAAAATCACTCAAAGTGATTTTTCAGTTTTGCAGAATATACATGCCTTACCCTAAATCAAATGCTACTCTTCTAAATCTCACCTGCTCACAAAAATCACACAGGTTGACCATAATCTGGAGCTCTCTGCCACATGCTTCCGCCCTGCACAAGAAATCCTCCAAGTCTGATTTAAAGGTGCTGATGAGAATCCTGAAGGCCTCTGTCTCTGGGTAGGACAGTCCCCTCTGCTGGAGTTTGTCTGCCTCTGACACTAAGGACATGGCATGGTGTCTGCGGTCCTGGAGGAGGAAGGAGGGAGTGATTCAGTGAGGCTGGCAATCAGGAATCACAAGGGCAGCAAATTTAAGCTCACATTGGCTTCAATCAGGAAACCAGTGAAGCTGTTGAGGATCTGCTCCATTCTGTCTCCAGATTCCTCAACGGATTTGGCCTCCAGCAGGTGGCGCTCTCCCTCCACACTAAACCACTGCTGAATCTGCAGAGCAGGTTGTTCAAAAGAAAATATTTTAAGGTCAGTAATTCATTTATTTTGTAATAATACACAGAGTAATAAAATACAATAAATGAATAAATATGTGAAAACACACCAAGCTAATATTTGGTCCAAATTAACTGCATGTATTTTAGCAATCAACACCCTATAGATTTTCAATCAGAGTTAGTAGAGCTGAGTTAGAGAGCTGGCTTCCAGACGTGTCCGGGCTTCTAAAAACTCAGATGGTCTTTGGGATTATTATGTTTCTGGAAAATCTAAACATATCCAAACATGTCTTTACTTTTATAATATGTTTAATTAACTAATTAATTACAGATACCATACCGATACCATCTGTTTGAAATTGATGTTTGCATGTCTTTATATGAAGAACTGCATGCTACTTGGATTTAAAATAATAGCCATCGTGGCTTTTTCCAGCTGCTGCCTACCTTTGTGAAGCAGGAAAAAAACTAACACAAAGTGAATCCAGTAGAACTCTTTATTGCCTACCTGGAAGGGGTGACAATAGTTGAATAAAGTTTTGGCTCTCAAAATGGTACCGGTGCCCTATTTGTTGGTATTCGCCAATACAGATACCACTATTTTAGTGCTGGATCGGGGCCTCGACCGATACTGGTATCGGTGCAAGACTAGAAGCAGTATTCTTTCTTGATTTACACCATTATCCAGAAAATTTGACAGCAGAAAGGAAAACCCCAAGAGCAGGCAGGCTCCAGCAATACGTTTCACTGATGCTATCAGGTTAAAAAACCCTTTTCTTCACTCATCCATTGTTGTCATTGTTGCTTAATAAGTCAATGTTTTAATCCATTTTCTTTAAATCTGATTTAGGGATTCAGTTTTTACTATTTTTATCATTATTACATCTAACTTACACTAATGCTGCTAAAACAAAGTTTAAGTGCGTCCTGTAAAAGTGTAAAAAAGAACTTATTTTTTGAAGGCTATGTTTAAAATCTGTGCTAACTGCAGGAAACTCATCTAAGTGAATATCATGCCAGATATATGCCAAAAGTGTGTCTATAGGTGAACAAAAGATGAGGTGAAGATGTGTATTTTTGACCTGTTATAGGGAAGGTATGCAAATATTTGGGCCTATAGTATATTGGTTATTTCCATCCATCCATCTATCTTCTGTCACGCTTTATACCAGCTGGGGTTGCAAGGGGTGCTGGTGCCTATCTCAATTTGTCTATGGGCGAGAGGCAAGGTACACCCTGGGCAGGTCACCAGTCCATCGCAGGGCAACACAGAAACAAGCAACCATGCACACTCACACCTAAAGAGGATTTAGAAAAGCCAATTAACCTAATAGTCATGTTTCTGGACTTTGGGAGGAAGCCGGAGTACCTGGAGAAAACCCATGCATTCTCATGGAAAACATGCAAACTCCTTGCAGAAAGACCCCGGACCAGGAATCAAACCCAGAACCTTCTTGCTGCAAGGCAGCAGTGCTATCCACTGTGCCGCCATTGGTTATACTGTAGCCAACCCTAAATTTTAACTGAGCTTACACTTCTATTATAACATAAGAACACATGAAATACCTGCTTGAAGTGTCCCTCCATTTCCCTGAGCTGCAGCAGGTATTCCAGGTGTTCCAATGATGCATTCGTCCTCTGCACAAGGATGTGAGCCTGCTCCTCCACATAGTTGTACAAACTGGTTACTGAGTCAACTGCATCACTGTATGAAGGACACAAAGATTAATTAACACCAGCTCTAGAGAGAACCTTTCAGGAAACTTTAAGATCCACGTCTAACACTCAGCTTTGTTCAACTTTAAAATAAAAATGAAGAAAGGCCAGTGGTGACTGAAAAACCTGTTGAAGAAGGTGATACCTTGAACTGGAATCTAGATTTTTCTGTACAAGGTAAAAGCGAGAAGATGATTTCTGTTGGGTACCTGAGGTCCTCACAGTGAGGGTACTTCAAGTCACTCTCCTTCCGCAGCCTAGCCAGGATGGCCCCGCCCTCCCTCTGCAGGCTGACCAACCGACTGTCCTCCAAGACGTCCCTCATCAGAGTCCTCTGGTCCATCATGCATTGCTGCACAGCCTTTTTGACAGAAGATATAAAACGGGTTTCTAACACTGACTTATCCCTCATGACTGAATTACATCAACTGCAAAAATGTTTGCAAAGAAAGATTGAATAAAACCACCTGCACAGTCTCTGTCATCTGCAGCTCTTCTAACTTTCTGATGGCTCTCAGCAGTAAGCTAGCAGCTTCATGGAGATTGTTAACAAACGGGAAAAGTCTCTGAAAATCAAAGATTTGGACAAGCATGAATGAGGTTCCAGGATTTTGTTCCATTTATTTCGAAAGCATTTTGAATATTTAAGATTCCGTTATCTCTTTTTGAAACTGCTTAAATTAATGAAACAACATACTGAAGTTGTTTTTCATTTTTTGGAGAGCAACATAGAAGTAATTAACTGTTTTACTGGCAAATGGAGTAACTTCAATCAAAAATCAAAAATTTTAAACGCACTATTAGTAATTTATTTTTAGTTCTTTGTAAATAGAAATAGAACATCACAAACCAAAGTCCAGATGAGTAAAATTTTCAAATCAAAGTCAGGTTAGGTTAAGGAAATCAAAGATAAAGGATATCAAAATAATATAAATGAATGGAAAACTACTGCCTTTATAGGCAAATGTTAGATGCCTGTTTCTTTTACAAAATATATGAAAAAAATAAGTTAGGAGAATAAAACATTTTTCTGGTCACATTTTTCACAATAAAATGCTCTACTTTTCCAAACTAAGGCTGAATAGGAAGCCTGAGTTAAGCAAAACTAAACAGAAGCAAAAAAAACAAAAAACAAAAGGATGAAAGATTCTCACCTGGTGCAGCTCAAGCCAGTCACAGTAGCCATGAGCTGTGCCATCCAGAGCAGAGCTCAGCTGATTGGTCTCCGCCAGCTTGACCAATCCTTTCATTGATGTTACTGAATCCGTCTGCATCAATATTATAGAATATTATGTTCAATTTAAGGGAATATCTTAAAATAAGGGCTTTTTAAATTGCCAGTTAAATCACTTTATCTCTTCTTTCTTGTGTGTGTTACCGTTAAGACCAACAAGGCTCATAAAAACTAATCCGAATGCTCACATTCAACATGAAAAACATGCTATTTGTTTTTATGAGTGAAAGCCATTAACCTGGATTCCAGGACATCTCTCTGGCTGAAAGTTGCTCTCTTTGTCGACTAGCAGAACCAAAGAATTCACGGCACGGGGTGACCACTCCTGCATCCAGTTAAAACAAGTTACAGCTTTTTAACAGACTAAAATACATAACAAAACCCCATCTTTCATTACAGTAAAATTTGTTATGTTTTGTCCATTTTCTGTGCTTCAGAGTACACAAATAATTGTAGATGATTATCTGACATCATTCTAGTTCATAGGTTTAAAAAAAAATTTTAAAACAAAAATTTGCATCCCGCTGCTACTATGGTTTGTAGGCCTTCTGTCATAAGGCCAGAGAAATGGGTACCTTTTCCTTACAAGCTTTGCTGAGAAGGATTAACGGTTAGCCTCATGTCTCTAAAGCAGGTAAATGACTAAATGCTGTAGTTGTTACTCTCTAGAGCAGAGTTTGGAGGAGGGTGTCCTCCAGGGAGAGGTAGAGAGGTAGAGGTGGGTAGGGCTGTGTGAATGAGCCCAGACCATGCCTCTGCCTCCTCCATACCCAGGCTTGCAAACTGACTTTGTAATTTTTGGTTACATTTAAAACAGGATAAATGGCGATAGAAAAGGACTAGAATATTATTCCTTTTCATCTATTATTCATGTGAATAAATGTATGTTTAGTAAATTTATTTTTCCTTTATTGTTAGCTAAAGACATCATCTTTTTGTTTCACTTTTTCAAAAGCATGAATGTCTCACTTTAACCAGCATTTTTATATGCATTTAATATCTGCTAAAGATTTTACATCCCTTGCATTTGGCTTGTGGTTCATTATAATCCAGTCCAAACCCTGAGTAAAGATGGCGGATTCAGTCTGCATTATATCTCCATTTGTTTCAGTGGTAAAGATATACATGATAGGATATTTCAGCAAGTTTTCCTAAAATAATGCAGCTACATTATGCAGATTGCCACTTCATTTAGATATTTTGACTGCACTTTATATTCATGGCAGTGCTTTTAGAGGATTTGTATTGAAGTATGGGAAGCAGCTTCACTTCTTTGTTGTTCCAGGATGCTCCACTGTCAGCATCCCAAAGAACTAATAGCGTTTACCTTTTCCTGCCCAGATGACTGATTTTCCAGATACTGATTTTCCCGCACTACCCACAAATTTTCTATGGTATCGAAATCCATTATGACCAAAAGAAAATGTCAAGCATGACCATAACACACTTTTTGACCTACAGTATTTGGGGATATAATTAGGATCTGTGCTCCATTGTTTATGCCCAAACCCTAACCTGTATACTGATGTCAAGGTTTTTTTTCCTTATGTTTCCGATTCCACTGTTTTCTGTGCGCTATTGCCTGACATGGAGGTGGTTCTTGCACAGCCTCTGCATTAATAAAGAGGTGCCAAACTGGAAACATTTAAAGACCTCAGTTCTAGAGCACAGAAAAGCAAACAGCTATTCATAAAACAAAACAAACAAGTGAAAAAACAAAAAAGTTGTTTGTTATGCATTTTTTTCAAGAACAGAAGAAAAGCAAATAATTGATCAATGCAGAATTTTAAAGATCCTTATTCTGAATATTATCCTTTCTATTTTAGATAATTAAATCATATTTTATGTTTCTGCTATAAAGCAAGAAACTGGTCTTTTTACTCTTGGTTATCGTACTGTGAGACTGCCACACCAGCCATGTCTAATGTGTCTAATGTTATCAGTTTTTATCTGCAAATAAAAGCCCTATTTTACAAAGTAAACATACAGTTGGCTGTTAAGACAAGTCTGCAAAATCCTACTGAAATATGCTTCTTACATGAAGAGCCATCAAAGCCTTGTAGAACTGAGGTTGAGGATTCTTCCTTCTTGCATCAAATATCAATCTCATCCCGGCTTCTCTGACCTCCTTCCTGCAGACAGAAACAAACATAGGTGCTTTTGGAACGATACCGATACTCTACAAGAAGTCCTCTTAAAATCTATGGAGAAGCCCAAAAATAAATTAGATTCTCGATAAATTTGATTGTAAATTGTTTTGATGTAACCAAGTTTTTTTTCTCTCAAAGATAAAAAAATAAAAATAAAAGTAGTATTAGTTTGGGGATCAATTGTCTGTTTTTTTATTATTTACATTTGATTAGAAAAGGTGTGCAGATTATTCATTTTACCATTTTTTAATAATGGAAAAAAAAATACTGGCACTACAGCAAAAAACCCTTCTTTCTTATAGACTGATGACCTTTATGTATATCTTAACCTGTATTTTAGTATTACAAAATCTACTATAAGCTTCGGAGATAAGGCCAAGTCAGAGGGTTTAAAACCTTGCAATCAGCTAAATCGAATAATAATGACTGATAATTATAGAAGGTTAAATTCAAGTAGGCAACAAGGTTTTTCTTCAAGAACATAATACGTGTGGTTTTTTTTCGTATATGAATTGCTCGTTCTCTTTGGTCCTTATCCAAAAAAACACAAAACTATGATTTTTTCTCAAGTGCCTTTAAAGGTATAGTAGAGGATTTTTGTGAATTTTTTAAAAGACCCACCCTCTCCACTTAAAAAAGAAAACGCACCTTCACAAACCTGTACCCGCTCCCAAGAGGGAACGCCTATTAAACGTGTGTGAGAGCATGCACGAGCCCATTTCTCCTTGTGCACGCTTTTGTTTAAAAGTTGCTGTTTCCATCGCTCATACAGGCTTACATTCCAAAAGAAGATTTGCAATTTTTCACTATGTCAGACTCAGCACTGGTAAGTAAAAAAGTGGACGAGCATATATATAAACATATCACCAGAATGATTGACAATTAGGAGGACCACTTATTTTGATGATCCATCCAGAAAAAGAACATCCTCCACTATACATTTAATTTGTCCCAAATAATAAAACACATAATAGATAGCTTATGCCTCTTCAGAAAAAAAAAAAAAAACAACTAAACATTTTACAACAACAGAAGTGTCAAAGCAGTTCAAAGCTTGGTTATATTTGAGTTTCCCCACCTGGTGATGGAATAGAAGTAGAGCAGCATCTGGAAGATCTCGTGGCTCGTTACTGTTGACTCCCACCCGGGATGGTGACCATAGAGTTCAATTATTGCTCTGCCTGCCCTGTCTCTGCAGCCTGGGGTGGAGAAAGAATATAGAAGATGAGTGAAATGGTCTGGTCAGGATCCATGGAAACCAGCTGACAGACCTCTAGAGGTTTTATTAAACTTTTGTTTTCGGCTTCTTATCCTCTAAACTACATGCAACAAATCTGGTTTTCACTTTACAAGAAAGCTGGTTTATCACCTCTGGAGTGGTGCTGAAAAAACATATTCACTTAGAAGCAATATTTTATGTCTGAATAAATACCTGTGAGAAAGGCTAGCCCTAAATAAACAGGATGGGCTCTGGGGTCCGGTGAGCCCAGAGGGAGGTGGTCTGGTCTGGTAAGAACAGACACTTGCTGAGAAGTCCGGTTTGTTTCTGCCAAGGATGACGGATTCCTCTGGGGCAGGTTCTTTGTTTCAGGATCATCAATCCTTTTGGTGCCAAGCTGCTCCACAACTGCAGAAAGTTTTATTTTTAATTTATGCTTAAATAAAATGCAAATATATGTGATGATAAACAGGGAGCGGCGAGCTCTTTACCTGGAGTGTCGCTTTTCTTTCTGCTGATCTTGGGTGAAACCAGTCTGAAGGCGGTGCTGTTTTTACACTTGACTACATGCAGTTGTGGAATCTCTGCTTGAGAATCAGAGTTTTCTTTTCTCCTGACATTTTTCCCTTCAACAATGATCAGTTCACACTTTTCTGAGGTGTCCACCACCGCTGTGGAGAGAGACGAGCATCTTCTGTCTGAGTGGGTGTCTCGTCTGTGTTGGGGTGTTGCAGCAGGCTTAATGTTTGGAGACCTAGCCGTCAAACCGGTTCTGCTTTGGAGACTTTCATGATGATTGGAAGGTTTCTCAGTGGAACATAATGTTGATCTATTCTGTTTATTGGAGTCACCTGAGTACCCAGGACCATTAACGTTTGAGGGGACATTCCTAGTATGTGTTCCTACTCCTGATACAGGATTTGCTGTGCTCACATTGTGTAAACATCCATGAGATTTATCAGACTGTATCCTGCCAGCAGCATTGGGGGGCATATGTATTTCTGTTGGTTTTCTGCATGGAGGACAGTTCATTTCTCCTGACTCCTCACAGATGTTTTCACCTACTTGTGGAGGAGACTGAGTATATGTTCCAGGATCACACCTTGCATCTTGAGGCTCCCTTCTTGGATCCTCTACCTTTAGCGGACCCAGTTTGTCACCACGCTGTGAGCTATCAGTGCCCTCTTCCAGCAGCACTGACATATTCCCTCTGTTATTCTCAGCTCCAAACGTGACAGGGTTCTGTAGGGCAGCCTGGTATGAGTCTCTGTATCGACATCTCAGCTCTTGAGCCTTGCCGACTTTCCCACCTTGCCGTCTTGCCATGCATGGGGTGCAGGGCTTCTCTGCAAAGCGCACAGTGCGGGCACACTGAGGGGAGTCTGAGGAGTTGGAAAAAGTTGGTTGTTTAGGGGAATGATGCTGAACAAATAGAGGTCCATCTCCAGACATATCTTGTAAAATTGTCTGTGAGTTATGTTCTGAATGTTTGCTGAATGGTGGATGCACAATTTGCTGATTTTTCCAACTCAGATTTCTGTGTATTTTGGGTTGTATTTGTGCGCTTTGCTGTTCTTCAGTCAGAGATGGCTCTTTATCAAAAAGCATTTTGGCCTGCAGTATATCAATATAGTCCCCTGTTGCAACAGGTGCTGGCTCATTTCTGCTCATACTGTGAGCATTAGAGGTTTTCTGCTTATCTTGCAGTGTATTTCCAGGAACTTTAATACCTTTATTCACACCTTTAAAGTCAGTTATATTACCATCGGAATGGTTAGATTTTTCTGCTTTAGCGGCTGGGTTTTGATTTATTCCAGTAATGCGACTGTCCCATGTATTCGGGGACACCCAGCCTATTGGCCTGTGCTCTGTTTCAGTTTCTTTCACTTTTACCAGCTGTGATGAAGAACCAGATCTAGTATCCACCAGACAAAGTGACACAGCGATGCCATGCTTTGCAGGACATATCCTAGTCTCCACAGAGAGGGCGGCTGGATGTGGGGCAGAAGTTGAAACGGAATCCTGAATAGTCACAGGAATATGTCCTGGCCCAGGTTTCTTTGAGGAGGAAAGAGGGAAGAAATTAGTAGGAAGAGGTGGAGGTTTAGGAAGTGGAGAACTTAAAGGTGAATGTGATGGAGCAGCAGAGGCCATACTACTCCCAGCACAACGTGCCAGCTCTACAAAATCAGGCACGGCCACCCGTTCCCATGGCAACCTCACAACGCCTCGCTCTGTGGCGACCAGGCAATGTCTAAGAGGCGTCCCCTGGCAGTCCTGGTTAAACTCATCCAGCCAGCCAGAGCTGAATATACAAGGATAGGACGTCTCAGGAACTGGGGTCTCCTCCACGACCTCCAGAGTAAGTCCCTCCTCCTTCAGCAGACTGCAAACCACAATACGAGCTGATTGGTCACAGAACGGAGTCACCTGAAGGTAAAAGTCGCCTGGCTGAAGAACGGAGGGATCAATCGGAGCAAGCTGGATGACAACTTGGTCACGTAAACAAAGAGGCCATCCCTCACAGAGGAAGAGCACATTAGAGTATTGAGCCTGAAAAAGGAATAGATGATATGATATCAGAAATGTAGACAATTTAAATGATAAAAAATCCTGTTTAGACAGTCAGACAATCTATAAATAACTTACACATGCAGCCTGCTGCACGGTATCTAAAATGTGCTTGGCTGGTACCAGGAAGTCCAGAAAACAGCGCAGGGCGTCTTTCTGATAGCGGCTGTCAATGATCTGGAAGAGCTGACTGAGGAGAGTAGGGGCGGTGGCTTCATAGGGGGGGTACAATGAAGAAAGGAGGTTATGGATTGATCCTTCCACAGAATCAAGGTTCTGAAAAAAACAAAACAAAATAAATAAACAAAAAAACAGAATCAGCAGGATTTTCTCAATATAACCTGAAAAACAAAACAGGAGTGTTGCTTTAATTGGTTTCTTCGCTGAGATCATCACACAGGCACAGCAATGCATCCATTACAACAACAAAGTTATTAATAACAAAGTTACCAAACTAATATTCAAATTAACTGTTTTACAGAAGTTCTGCTATCAACTTTTAGAATTATTATTTTTTTTTTTGGAGTTACAGATTTAAAAGGAGCATCCATTAAAAAGCAAAAAACAATAGTAAAAAGCATTATCTAAACACTATAAACAGTGGTACAGGAATTGAATAATTACATATCTGGTCATTTTAATAATTTGAATATACGTGCAAAAAAAAACCCAAAAATATTCAATCTTTGTGTTCAAATATTTAGGAAAATAAATTTGTAAATAACTTCTTCAATTTTAGAATGGTATTTTATTGTATGTTAAATAAAATTCATTTAATTTCATTAAATATATACAAAAAAACTAAAAAAAAATTGCATATCATGAAATTGATTACTTAGTTCATCAGATCTTATTGTTTATTAATCGTTTAAGATAAATTCACAAAGCTCTGGCAATATGGGGAATAAAAAACATTGTTATAATATATAATTGATCTAAATACTTATGTCTGATTTACAGATTTAGTGACAATATGCTGGATGCATTAAATTATTCAGACACTGTACAATACTATTTAACATGTTTGTTTATTTTATTGAAATTATTCTTAAGTTTATTTAAATTAATATACAGATTTTAACCACCATTCATTCACCCATGTATGGTTGCATGTCTGGACCCATCCACTCAGGCTGGTTGGAACAGGTCGCCACTCTAATACCGTATTTTTATAATCTATTTTTGAATTTCTAGGACTGTTGGCTCTTCATAGTATAATGATCAGCCGATTACAATAACAATGTATTGGGACCTAAAATTTGCTTATTAGTTGAGTTGAATAAATTCCAGAGAAAACTAACTTTTACTCATAAGAATTTCATATATTTTTTAAGTTTGTTGTTGATTTAAACCCTCAAATGAATTATTTTCAAGTTTCATGCAGCAAAATTACACACACATTGTCCAAAACACCAAATCTTAAAAACTAGTATGGCTACCATGCTTCTACTCATAGTGATATCTGCAGTAAAACTTTGCCGATTTGCTCTTCTGACAGTTCAAATCGCTCATCCTTTACAGAGCAGTGCAACTTCTATAACCCGAAGGGGCTGTAAATAGTGTTTAAATGTATTAAATGCATTTAAACACTATGCATAAAAACACATTTTTATTGCTTAGTATTGTTAATAGTGAACCTAGAGCCCAGCTTCTAGCAAAGGTGTAATTTCCTTAACAAAAAGCATGCTGCAAAGGTTAATGAGACACTACAGTCAACAGCTGTTATATGAAATGTGCTTGAAATAAATATACTTTTGGCTGATTGTGCCTCTTGGTTTCACATTACAGCTCTAATCTGACCAATCAATCTGATTATATTTGATTTTTTTAAGGACACAGTAATATTTAGTGTTGGACAGCAAACCTGCTGTGTATTATATTAATCTGTCTCAGAGTAAACTAAAAAAAGGCCTAATCATCAAACTCATGGTCTCCTGGGAGAAACTGAGTCGTATAAAATGTTCTCCATTCTCGTATTTCCATAAAGAGGCAGCCAGCCTGTCGACAAATATTCAAGTAAACACAGATACAATTCTGGTTTATGGTTTCACATTGCCTTTGACCTGAACTCCTGCCCCCCTACCCACATTTAGGCCCTGCTTTATTTAGCCCAGCTTAGACCACAGGAGTGAGCCTCAGATGGTTAATGTATGTGTACAATTCAGAGGGGGAATCTGACTCCAGGAAGCAAAATGTATCAGCCTTGCTACATTGCAGGAAGATCATTTTTCCACCTGTACATTTTTCAGATCTTATCATGTTGGATAAAATCAGACATCATATGGATCAGTCAACATCAAAGACACGTTTTAAACTTAAACTGTGGGCTATTAGTAGGCTGATCAGGTGTGCTACATCAAAAATAAGGGATACACCGATTACTGATCACCTGATCTTTAAAAAAAGCCTGTCATGGTGTTCCCGATTCTGACCGGTACAGATTTATTTTAAAAATGGACATTGTCAAAAAAAGATCAACTTACATAAGATACTTAAATCTTTTCTTTCTGAAAAAAAAAAACATGAATCATTACCTGTTAAACAATAAAAAGATTCGGAAATAGCTGCTCAAATATAGTAAATATAAGTAAGTATATAAGTATAGTTTAAGGCATTGGTTGTTTTTTAGACCTTTACAGATATAGATCAGATAGGTGGAAAAGATTGGTTTCACATATGTGTCGGCCAAAATTCAGAAAATTGAGGCCAAACGTTATGCCTCCCGATAAATCGGTGTACTCTATGAAAAATAAAATTTCCTAAAGAAAATATTGTGTTTGATAGACACTAAAAGAAAGTTGTGTAAAATTGGAAAGTTAAAGGAAAATGTTCTTATTCTATATAGTCAGAAAAAAAGACTTTATTTAAGGGTACCGAATTTGAGGAGAAGAAATATAATTTTGAAAGTAAAATAAAGCTAAAAAACCTTTTTCCTCTCTCAGATAATTTTTTCACTGTTCACTTTTTTTTTACATTTATTAAATACACAAAAAAATAAAAATAAAGAAAAAAATAATTCCATACCATATATTCTGACCAAAAAAAAAAAAAAAAATGCTAAAATAATAACATTCACAAGAAAGTCAGGGGAAGCAATTACAGAAATTGTGGGAGGATGTTAACCTACAGAGGAAGAGTGCTGATTGGTGGCAGCTCAGAACTACACATCTTAGTTTAGTTAAATACAGATCACACTTCATGCAGGTGTATCATACAAATAAATAGCTAAAAAATCATACATTTTAATTTCTGGATTTGTTTAGACAAATTCTGTCACAGTGGACAGGCACATACTGTACGATGACAATTTCAGACCACTCCATTATTTCTTAGTGGGATAACATGCAAATTAGCAGGGTGTTCAAATACTTATTTTACACAATCATTTGGGTGACAAGATGTATAGAAACAGCCCAGCCCACAGAGCTGAACAAAAATACATTGTTTTGTTATATGCACTCTGTGAAACACACATGTGTATGCACCTTTAAATGTTTGGGGTTTCATAATGGAGAGCTGCAACTGTTTGCAGCATTTGTGTAACTTTTGTAGTTCTTTTCTGGGAGGCTGTAGTCCCAATTTGACCAACATCATCCAAGTGCATTATACTTAATACGTCATACGTGATGACGTCTAAGGCTGAAGGTTGTCTGAATTCATAAGAGCGGTCCAGAGCTCCTCCTAACCTGGATAGTGTTATGTAGATCCCAATAAATGGTAAAGGGATAGGAGCTAGGAACAGGAGGTAGGAGCTATAGGATTTAGCATCAGCCCAAAGGGACTGCACCGAGCCTTTTAGGAAACACAAACAGCAATGTGACACTGGACATTTGATTGAAATTTTTTTTTTTTTTTTTTTACTCTTAAGCAACTCAATTAAGCCTAAATGTACTTGACAGGCTGAGGGGTTGAAAAAATGACAAACACAGAAGCAGCAGTAAAGGAGTAACTTCAAAGTCAAAGGAAAAGGAGAGTAGATGGTAGGGGCAGCTACTTTACTTTATCTAAGACAGATACTTGGCTAAGTAGCTAATTTTTAAATACTAAAGACAAGCCTAACCACAGAGATAGGGGCAGATTTTCTATTAAAACATTGCAAAAATGCCAAGAAAGATAGACAGGACATTAGAGGAGAAAAGAAATACAGAAAGAGTCAAACAGATCAAAATGTTTTTTTTTGTCCTAGCAGCCACTGCTGCTCCTGCACAACTATTCCACCTTATATACACACACTGAAATGACGGCGTTCACATTGCAGAAGATAAGATTTCTTAGTGCCACACCCCAAGACATCAGAATATCTCTGTCCGGTATCATTATGAAACAAAAATAGTCCTCGAGCATTGCTGGTGTCAAGCAGGCTCCTGTCTGGGCAAGAAAATCTTCACAGAGAAAAACAGAAAGCTTTTATGTATGCAAACTTCAAAAAATTCCTCTGCTAGAATAAACTCAGATTATTTTAAAGGTTTTAAATGCACACTGTACCATTATGATTTTCTAAATAGCCTCCCAGAAAGTGAAAGGAAATGTTTAGTAGGCAAATTGGTAAATAATACAAGCTGGCCTCACAGCACTCCCTAATATGATAGTTTTGTGAACATGACATAAACTGTGGACCTTGTTTATTTCACACAAATAAATCTAGTTTTAAAAGGAAGGAAAACATTCGTTTTAGTTAATTTATATGACAGAAATTCTGAACAGAACCAAAATGATAGCTAGTTAGGTATATTTCATCCGGTGTACACCTA